TACTTTTTCTTATGGGCAAATTTTATTTTTGTAAAAAGCTTCAAAATGACAAAATAATAATAAAAAAAAAATTTCTTACTTTTCTTATTAATTTTGCGATTTTTTTTTTTTGTTCATTCAAGTCATAAATAATTTTCATTGTCCAAATTATTGAATTATTATTGTCAATATAAAAGAGGAAAGAAAATAAAGCAAATTATTCTAGCTAAGTCTAGTATTCAAATTTATTTATTTAATAGTTTTCTTTCTTTTACATTATTTTCATCTTCATAATAGAAAAGAAAAGAAAATTGATGTGATCAGCACATAACAAATTTCACGACTTATTTCAGGAATAACATAAATTCCAAAAAAACTGTCAGGAGTTATGAATATTGCTCTTTAAACACCTGTTTAAAATTTTTAGAAAGGGAGTTTTGCATTTTAATTTTCTGAGGTACAATTTTCCTAACAAGTTTATTAGTTACTTTCCTTGATAAATGAAGCTCAGATAGCTTTATTTTGACATTAAGAAATTGGAGTTATTAGGTATGGCTTAGTTTTCACACACCTTCATTCGGTTTCTGAGCTATGAGATATATTGCCGAAAATTTTGATAGTTCATTCTTTTATTCCGCCATAGAGCTGAAATGTCAAATTTGAAAGAAATTTGTCAATATTATGTACTCGTAAGACAAGAAATTTTCTTAAGAAACGTCAAAAATTTTTAATCGTTTCCGGAATAAACGTTCAGTTCAACTTAAAAGCAAGCTTAAAATAGAATTAAAATTTCGTGAAAATTTATTAATCTAAATTTCAATTATTAAGGCACATAGATTGACAGACGTCTCCTTAAATGTTTTTTTTGTGTTGTAATTGTCTACTACAGAGTATTTCAATTCTGTTGATACTGTGGAATTTCGATATCATCGAAATACCACCCTTATTCAATGTAATATGGTCAGTAAAAAAACAATATGACGTGCATATGGAACTACGTAAACAAAAACAAAACTTATTTAATCTTAATACTCTCTCTTTATTTGTCTCCTCTTAATTTTATAATGATTTTTCTTTTTTTTTTCGTGTTTTTATTGTTTTTATTTTTGCAATAGAATTGAAAATTTTATTATTATATGCAATTTTCATTCATTATTATTTGTTTGTTCTTATATCGTATTATATTATTTTTGTTAGAATGAGTGACAACGATCTAAGTGACGAGATATAATTGTCACTATATTTTATAGTAAATTTACTATATATTATACTATAATAACATTTATTACGTACGTAGTCAAATTGTATAAGAATGCAAATTTAAACTAAAATTTCCTAATATAATATAATACACAAACAACACTATTCATATACTCGTTATGTTTGTATGTATATTTATTTTTGGATGTAATTGCGTGACAACAAAATAGAGACAAATTGAAATGTCAAATATTAAAATGAATTGCCATCACTCTTTATGAATGATTATTAAGATATCTAAATTAAATATTAGATATTTTTAACTAAATAATGTATATATATATATAAAAAAAAAAATTATGCGTTGTATTCATATACATTATATTTGTATTAGAATGTATGACAGATATGTTTATGTACGTACCTTAAATCATTGTTATTGTTATGCACTATCTCTATTTTTTTAATATTTTTCGTTTATGATATTATTATACATGTTGAACATACTTTGACACAAATATTTAGGGATTTATGGTCATACCATACCTTTATATGTATATATATTGTCATGAATACTGTAAATTGTTGTTAAAAATATTTTCTATTATTTTTGATGATTTGTTGATTGTTTTATGTGTAAAATTTTACATTAGAGAATAGCATAAAATTTTTGCACTTGAAATGTGATCTAGTGTAAACACTTGAATATTTCGTGTTTATGTATGAAATTATGTACATATATTTTCATCAAAGTTATTGTCCTAAAAATATATTGGACTCTTAACAATTTAGTACTTAAGTATACATAAAATGTAATTACATCGTTTTATACATGGGTACTTTATTCAAATTGCAAAATTACATTGAAACCGAAAAAAACAAGTGCGTATTTTTGAAAAAAAAAAAAAATATTTAATATGAATTTTATTACTAAATAGACAATAATAAATTAGGAACTTTTATTGTTATTTTTATTAGATTTAAGGGTATATACGGGCATTTGATTATTACATTTTGTGTTTTTTTTTAGTGTTCATATGATTAGATTAATTTTTGTTTACAACAATTTTGTAAACATACATAAGGTACTTATATTATTACCGGTACCTGTATTTGTATACTATATTTTTTTTGCAGCTAGATAATATTTACATATATTTATGAGTTTTAAGATAAACCATCCAGCATCAATTTAATATTGGCCGTCCATTTTTATGTAGTTGAATCTTTTTTATTGCACACTAATTTTGTTTTATTTAAAGATGTTCTATATTTTTCATTGTAATTTTCTGACGGTAGATGTCTCTTATCGGATATATTTAATGTCACCGATAAATACGATTATACGTAATTTATGATAATAAATTGTTGGTAATTATGTATATAATGAAGGATTGCACAAATTGTAAAAATATACAACATAAAATTTATACCTTTGGTAAAGAAATTTGGACGTGTATTAAAATTTTTGTTTAAGATTTTCTAAGTCCTAATTCTATACTTATTACAATTATGTGAAAATTTTCAAGATCATAGCAAACCAAGTAAAAAAAAATTTAAAAAAATTTTAAAATTTTTTAGTTCATAATATTGTCTTCAGAAGATCATATGTTCTTCTTCCTTATTATTATGGCTACATATGGAATTTGGTCGTATAAATAAATTCCATATCGTATTTGGAAAAAGATCTTATTAGAATTCCAAAAACAAAAATTAATATTTCCTCAAAATATAATATTATGTAGATATGTATTTGATATATGTATGTATGTACATACTTATGTTTGGCTATAAATTTAAAAATTGTATACTAGCCTCTAGTAACTAGAAACGTAAATATGTACATATTAAATTTCATAATTCTGTATTATTGAATTATTAAAAATGTGAAAAGAGATTTAACTACCAGACCTTTTAAATATAATTTTTTTTTATTTATATTCATATTTAAATAAATAATTTAGTTTGATTAACTAGAGTAAGCTGGTTTTTTAAAATGATATACATATATATATAAAATTACACATCCGTCGTAGGTGGAATATTATGTGTTTTCGTCCAATTTCAGCATAAAATATATTATTGACATAAAACAAAATTATGTCTACTTAAGGTCTTAAAACAATTTCTTCAAAATATATTATGCAAATTTTTTATACTTAGCAAACATTGGCAAACCGGAAAAATTTATAATGTTTTTAAATTTTCCTAATTTTTCACCTATACGAACTCTATTTTATTTGTTTCTAGTAAAGAAATAAGGTAAGAATATTTTCTGCAGTAGTGTGAAAGATGTGATTACAGTATATGATGAAAAATTTAATAACAGTATATGAAAAATTTAATTATGACAAATCTCCTGTATCAAAGCTTAAAAATAGGTGTTTAACCCCATATAACAATTGATGATATTAAAAGGTATAATCACAATTTCAGTTCATCATTTCAATAGAATATTTAATTGCAGTGCCATGTTAGAAATTTACCTTGCTCTACATAAACATATTGTTATAAAATCACATTAAAATGCGGGATTTTTACTATAATACTAGAAATTCTGTTTCAAATTTTCCATTTTCTAAAATAAATTGTATATATGTATGTATGTAGGTATTAGAAATATTATAATATTTTAATTTTAATGCACTACAGTTTATTTGGAAAACCTTGCATCACCAGTTGGAATTCCATATTTTTATTGCTATTTTAAATAAAAGTGAAAAAAAAAAATAAACATATAATAATAAATTATTATATTCGTACATTAGTGCATATACATACTTATATGTATTGTATATCTAGAAGAACAGTTAAAATTTTTAATGATATTTCAAGAAACATAAAAAAAAACAACTCTGATTTCTGGACTCCCAATAATAATATTGATGATCAGCTAGTGATATTCTTTTCACTTTGTTTTACGTATTTTTATATTAATTCATAATGTTATAATATTATAGTGTTATACAAATTTCTGAGCGCCTAAAATTTCTTCCTATTTTGCAATAATATAATAATATGGTGTAACGGTATACTACGTATTATCATACTTAATTTCAATAAACAAAATACGTGAGTTATACATAATATATACATTAGGGTATAACAGTATAGTAGGTATAAGGGTATATGCTATATAAATATAAATATACATATGTATATGTATATTATAAAAAATCATTTCTTCTAAATATGCGAATACAATTGCAATGATTTTAATAATTTAAATTTATAAAAATTATTTTATGGTATTCCCATTTTTATGTAATAAAAATATGCATAAATATATATCTACTATAAATATCTGAGATCTGATAGTATAACAGTATAATTTAAGCTCATATTATAATATATGAGCTCTGCTTATAATATGTACTTGTGTATAAGCTTACAAGTATAATGCAATACTCAATATATTAATATATGTATGTATTTAATATTTATAGAGAGAGATCTACATAAATGTTTATACATTATTAAATTGAAAGATTGAAATAAAAAGTTAGAACTGTGTATAGTATTATTCATACACACTATTGCATACATATGTGATGTGTATGATACAATTACCTTATTTTAAATCAAATGCTAGATGGAGAAGTTCTTTTGATATAAATATCGCACTTTTATAATGACGATTTGTTTTTTTTTTTTTTTGTTCATTTTTCAAGTATATTTAAGTTTAAATACATCTGGTATTTCGCAGATTTATTAGAATATATTATTATTAAACCTTTTCTTTTTTTTAGAGCGCATTTATATATTTAGTAACATTTAGATTACGGTTGTCTTTTAGATAAGTAGACTCGTTGAGTTCGTGTATACATATACAATAAATCGGAGGAAATTCTTTAAGAAAAATTAATACAAAAAATTTAAAATTCCAAGATCATTGTTTTTTTTCTATTTCATTCTGTGTCTTTCATTTTAATTAAAATTTTAAATTTTATAAGAAAAATTAAAAGTATAATAAGCTTTTTACTTAATTTATGTTTTCTATACATACATATATGTACATAACGGTTAATTAATAGTGTAATTAAAAATATAATTAATAAATACAAAAAAAAATAAGAATAGTGATAATTCAAAAGCTAAAAATGACTTCTCAAGAAATTAATGTCAAAGATGTACTAAAATCATTAAGAAAATTTGGTATAGAAGATTATTGTGTTTTTGTTTTAATGTTATTTAGTTGTGTTGTAATTGGCATTTATTTTGCAATTAAATTAAAAATATCAAAATCAAAAGCAACAAAAGATGCTGAAGATAATTATTTAGTTGGTGGAAGAAGTATGCAAATAATTCCAATAACAATGTCATTGGTAGCAAGGTAAATATCCAATAAATTAAAAATTATTAATATTAAATTAAAAACAAATGAAATGCATTTAGGAATAACACAAATAATGCATTTCGCGAACAAAATCAAATTATCATTTTGATCTAATTAATTGAAATTAATTAAACTATAATTATCATTAATAATAGCTTGAATTTAAATAATTGGTATTCAGAATGAAGTAGATTGGTTCACAAAAATTATACTTGAATAATGATTAATTGTGTTTGGTCTAAAATCATTATTATATATTATGTTGTATATGCTCTGCAAGTATTCTGTTCTGATGCAGAGGAAAAGACGCTTTTTGGGAGGATATCTGTCCGACGAATTGAACGAGTTCTCGGGGGCGCCTGTGGGTGATCTGCTAAATTTTTTCAAGGGACTTTAATAGATGGGAATTCTATTAAGTGGCAGAGTGCAGGATGCCATCTCCCCTCTCTGATTAACTAACTATAACTAACTAATTATGTATGTTGCTTACATGTTCAAATACAAAAATGTTTTAAAAAATTGTATAAAATTTACTAATCTAAAATAAAAATTCATTATATATGCTCGGATTAATTTATTCATCCATAATGTTCTTGAGTCTTATTTAAGATTTGATAAGTTCATTATAAATTGATTTATTTGTATTTCAAACACGTTTTCGCTAAGTTTTATCAATTTCTGTTAATTGACATTCATTGTTTATATTTGATTCTTACTCGATTTTAGTTGTTTGACATTGCATTGTTGTAGGGTATACATATGAAATTTTTAAATAAAAAGAGAATTGAATGAGGGACTGTAAAAAGAGTAAATCGAGGTAGAAAGAGAGTTGAGCTGAGGTTGAGAAATTTTCATACCTAGTCTATAATATTGCAGATGTAATTGAGTGCTGTCCTAGTGTTGTATACACCTAAAAGGAACACAATGAACATAGGATGATACTCATTCAGAACACATTTACATATTATGTACTTATTTAGTTTTTTATATTTTAAAGGTACATAATTTATACTATAAAGTAGGTCTATCAATTATATTGTTTTATTTTTTATGTTTTTTTTAATTTATGTTTTCTATCTAATTCATGGGCATACCTACAGAGAGCATTAATATAACAGTTTTCATATTATGTAGCTATATAAATTATTATTATTATTAATGATTTTTTTTTTGTTATTTTATATTAATTTTATATTTATTTATAAATAAATTAAATACATCCTGTGATTATATAAAATATTTAACTGAAGAAAATGTTTCCATTGGCAACTTGCCTGATGTACGTATAGGTTCTATGTGACAGATATAAAAATTTGATAATATGGTATTCAGCAGATAAATTGATTAATAAATTTTAAGAAAATAAGTGTTCCAAGCATTCTGGTTGTTCTACACATTGTATGGACAAGGAAAATTGTAAAAACTTTTATCAACTATTTTATCTTAATGGAAATTTCTTCATACAACTGCAGAACAGATGGATGACGTAATCAAAGGAACGAGTTAAAGGCAGAAAAATTCATTAAAAAAATTTTTCTCCTCGAACTGGACTCCAACCAGTGACCTACCGCTTTCTAGGCGGACGCTCTACTAACTGAGCTACAGAGGCATGAAGAAATTGCCGACGAAATGTTCTCTACATTGCTTTATACTGTAATTCACATGATTACTAAGTATTTGTTTTGTTTACATTGATTGCTACATACAATCTACTATTGAAACACACAATAACAAGAACAAATATTTATCAACTATCTTTTATACTGGTGCGTTTTAAAGTGTTATATGAATTTGGAGTGTTATGTGAGAGTCACCTTTAAATGGAACGCCAACATTATTTCACCATAAATTGAATATTTTCTTCTGATTTTATAATTTTGTTATATACGTATACTGCAAGATCAAGTTACATTTACGTTACGTTTTTATTATTGTTTGACTTTTCGAATTATATTTTAAAATATTCTTTTAATTTTTGACTCAATTTTAATCCATTTAAAAATCACTATACAAACTTAACTTATAAGTTTATAAACAAGCGTGCATGTAAAGTTTGGATTTAGATTTGCTTCAAGAAGCATAAGGTAAATTCTTAAATATGAATTATATTGTTTTATTTTGTTATTATTGTTATATTGTATTGTATTGAATATATACAGCATTACAATAATAATATTTAAGCTTTTGAAATTTGTTATAACAATAGTATAACATAATTTATTATATTGAACTTATTAGAGTGGAGGAACATAATTATGTATTATAAGATTGATTGTATTATAAGCTGTATGTAAGAAGAATATATGCTATTTCATGTGCTGTATTATATTTAAGTTTTCCGGTTCCGGTAAGATTTATGTTATTTTTTTGTTATACGCATAAGATATGTAACATTTTTAATTGGTAAGATAAGGTGATTTTAAATTATAATTTTAATTTTTTATAAAGTGAAAGTTTACCATTCTATTATGAAAAAAGATTAGCAGAGCAAGTTGAAATATTTACTTATGGTCAAAACAGAACAAGAGTGATTTTTCACGGCGAAATATAAAATTCATATGTAATACACTAAATACACATATAAAAATGAGACTGCACTGAACGAAGCGAAATTACTGGCGTGATTAAATCGATGGTGGTAAAATAGTCTTAAATTCTATTAGACCAGTGTATTTTTTTGACATTTTCATTGGTTTCCATTTGTGTGTGTCATTATACGTAAAATACTGAGCAACTGATATGCTGTTACGCTGTTCTTCTCTCTGTTAATAACTGAACGAATGAACCGTATTCATTCTCTGTTTTGATTAAGCCACTCATTACTTTTTGTAATTTTCAATGTAATTTAGTATATGATAAACGTCATAATGAATATGACATTTTTCTAATGTCATAATAACAAAGTTGTGACATTTCGATAATATCATAATAAACAGGTACTAGTTAGAATTAGAGTGATAATAATAATTGTTATTCATAAAACAAAACTTTACCAAAAATTGTTTGTGTAATAATTTTTTGTTTATTTTTTAGCATATGTACATAGCGGCACATCAAAACGAGAATGGTGTAAGTAGTTATTTTTGGTATGTAAATTAACTATAAATACAGTTAATATACTTCGTTTTTATTACGATTAATACACCTGATTAAATATAGAATCTATTTTAAGAATAAAAAAGAAAAAAAAATTCTCGAACTATAATTAGGAATTTTATTAATTTCAATAACAGAAAATTTTTTGTTAAACATTTACAAATTAAATTTTTTTATTTCTTTAGTTTCTCGGGTAAAAAATATTAAAATTATTGAACACGTTTTTGAACTTAGCGTTTTTGAACTTAACCTTAAAAAAAATTGACACTTAAACACGTGCGTTAAAAATGAGGAAATTTAGTTTAGTTTTTTTTATTTTTTGTTGCAAAATTGTTAGTCTGTAGGCTTCCAATTTGCATAATTAAAATTTTATAAGGTACTCGTAATTTCGTAAATTAATCTTTTGAAGAGAAAACAATATTTTTAACTTTTTAAATGAAAATAAATTTTTCCACTAGAAATTGAATATGTTTTGTGTTATGTAATTTTGTTAATAATTGAATTTGGCGTTCTTTGTTAAATTTATTGTTTTATTCTTGCGAATAACTTGGTATTGCTTTTAAAAGGTGATATAAAATTTTGTATAACTAATACATTCGAAAATTTTGTAATAATTAAATAAATCTCCCTTTTTTTTTGTTTTTTTTTAAACTTTGTATATGAAATAGTTCATGATTTAAGAATTAATTTTTATTCCTTAATTTTAAATATGCATCTATTCACTGAAAACTAATTTAAAATCGAATAATCAAAATAATCGAACAGATTTTTTTCGTGTTTCTCAACACTATGCATATAATATGTGTACAGTGTTGTAATACAACAAATATTAATATTAAAACTTTTTTATGAAAATTATCACGTTTTAGAATTTTTAAGAACGTGTCTCGATTGACGATTGATGAAACCTATCAATTATGAAATTTATTAAAAATTTTTATTTAAAAATTTTATGTAATATGCAATATTAATAAACTGTGATGTGTTTTAATTTATATTCTTGATCGATTGGAGATTTTCTAACATTTTGGAAAGTCCTTAAATTTCTAATTATAGCATTTATATGTATATACAGAAAACATTTATAATAAAAATTATACTAAAAAAATTGATTTCAATGAACAATGTAAGAAAAATTTTATCGTATTTTTTTCGTTTTATCGTATTTGGGTTTTTTTTTTTGCTTTTATGTTTTGCATTTGATTGTTCAAAGAAATTACGATTATAGTGAAATTTATTAAATTTAATATCATTAATTTAATTAATATAGTACAAAAATATTTATACTACAAGCTGTATTTTCCAAAAAGCTTTTTATCGTAAATCATTTAATTTAACTTAAAAAGAAATTTTATATAGTACGGGAATTTTTTTTTCAAAATTTCTTTTGAAATTGTAAACTTTGAGTTTAAAGTTTTATTAAAGTTCAACTAAACTTGTTTTGACCCTTCCATTTGACCGGTTTCATCAGTACCAAGAATTAAATCAATTGTTAGAACATAGTCTTGAAAAGAATGCGTATGTGGTTAGTCTACTGATGATTTTCAACTAGTTGAAAGATGAGACCTTAGTTTGCTAATTAAATGAAATTATTTTCAAAAGATTTTTTCAAATATCTCCAAAAATATTTTTGCTACTATTATCATCTATAGATGGATTCTGTGAGTACCTGGTAAACACGAAACATACTTAGAGTCGTTCTATTTTTTTATGTTCTTTCACTAGACAATTATCATTAAAATAATTTAATTCAATTAAATTAGTAAATAAGATCAATTAAATTAAAATAGTAAATTTAAACCTACTTTGGGTTTGGAGGTTATTCTCGATTTGGATATTCTCGGTGAGTGAGCAGATGAAGGCGGTGGCTTCGAGGAGTGTACCTTGAGGCTACAAGCGAT